CACACCTCCCGAGACTTCGCCTCATTCATAGTATTAAACTCCATTCTCACCCTCTTGACATTTTCCTGATAGAATGGAAATTCAAAAACATTAGTTCCCTCTGTCAAGCATTTTTAAACAGTTTTAAAATAAAGTTTAGCTCTTTACACTGCCTGCCCTAACCCTAATGGAAATATAACGGCAATGGTTACCTTTTAGAAAATAACATCTCTTCTCAGGGTACTGGTACCAGCTTTATGGGACAGAACCATGGCGGAAGAGGGATCTGTGTTTGGGCAAGCTGATCCCACCCCCCTGCAGTGGTTTGCTCACTTCTCGATCATCTCCTTGCAGGGAGTCGTGACTGTCATTCACGCAGCTGGGTGGATCTCAACAGTGATGTCCGGCAGTCTCAGTATACCGCGAGCTGTAGCTCGCGATATACTAAGCTTTGGGTCATGGGAGGATGCTAGTTTATGTCCTCCCGTCAGGGGCGTGCCGAGGCTGGCTGACACCCGGAGCGGTAACCGGGTGTCACCCAGCCGAGACGTCACCGCGTGCGTGACCCTTAGGAGAACTATGGGGAAAAACACTAGTTCTCCTTTAAAGATGCAAAAAGATAAGGCCAACCATAGACATTAGAGGACAATTGGCCATAAATACATGGTTTGACTGCTCTCAAGGTTCTGCAACTCTGCAGGACACTGTGCTAGCTTGTAAACTTGGCAAACTTTAAGTGTATCCTGTGTGGAGAGGAAGCGTGTAAAATGGGGTGCTGGAGCTGGTTTTATATGGAAACGATAAAGATTGAGGTAGGACTGCTTTCACCAATAGCAGCTTTAAAACCGGCTTAGAAAGCATCAATTAGCATTAGATTGTTTTGTGCTGCTCTAATTGCACTGAGCACATGCCCTTTGCACAAAGTGCACTGTGCATTCCTCTGTAGAAGTCCCACATATGGCAAAACATGTTGGGAAAGGGTTAAGAGAGTGGACTAAGCACTAGCACTTCATGTCAGTGATGATGGGGTAGTCCAATATAAAGGAAATAGAAAGCTTAAAGTCCAACTGAACTTCAGTTTAAATCAGCTAAATATATTCCAAGCGCATAAAAAAGGTGTGCAAAGTCTTACAGTTGGTTTTCCTAAAGGAGAACTATGGGGTTAGGGCTTTTCCCCATAGTTCTCCTTAGGGTAACGGGAGGACACAAACTAGCGTCCTCCCGTCACCCTAACCTCAGTATATAGAGCGCTACTTTGTGACCCCCCCAGTTCGCTTTGACAGTTTTCCTGAATTAAATTTGGGAGTACTCCCTTCAACATTGGCACAACGGTAGCATTCAAGGTTTTTCTTTTCAGCTGGATTCACAGAATCATAGAATTGGAACGGTGTTAAATTCAGACCTAATTTTATGAATTTCAATGTCCCGAACCAAATCTGAGTTTCAGTGTTATTTTTGGTAGTTTGGATCTCCAAAAGGTTTCTAGTAGAGAAGGACCACAAGCTGCTGCAAAAGCTGTGTCTGTCTTATATCTGCTTCAGCTGTTCCCCCGAGTACCCCTAGATTGACTGCCAGTGACCACCAAGTCCCAACCTTCTAATTTAGTATCACTGCAAGCAGCTCGGGCTGTATTTTGGCCTCATCGTGTCATCAGGCAGAGCTGCCATGAGCTTCCCAAACCCTTCTGTACAATTTTGCATCATTTGCTACTCTGTATTACATACTTTCTTGAAGCCTTCTTCAGATTCCTATCAATTTCATGTGATCTTCTCACCCGTCCTTCACTCCTTTGCGTCATCTGGCTCCTCCCACCTCCGGGATTTAATACAATAAAATGATTCAAGTTATTTGGTTCAGTTTGCAGACAATTCACATACATACGTGTTTTAAGCTTTAAGGCGTTCTCCAGGTAATCATCCGCTGAGACCGTCTTCCCATCAATCTTCAGTTCCAGATTAAAATCTCTCACTGCCCAAACAAAGATGGGGAAGTATGTGGAAAATGTTTCTTGCTCGTCCTGAATGCTGCCAGTTCTCACCTTGATTAATTCCGTGATTTCCCCTACAAATCTTGTAAATGTTTATAAGGACATATAACATCTTTCTTTCCAGTCACCCAGTTAGAGATTACATCTGCATTATCTCTGGGAGAGGGGAAAATTAACACAAAACACCCCCAATTCACTAATTTAGAAGTTACATTAAGAAAATGACTTACCTGACGCCACAGTCACATGACACCCTGGGCCCCAAGTCTTCTTTTGTCTAGACTCTAGTGTGGAAGGGTCCTTTTTCTAGTGCTACCCTCAATCCCTGGCAAGGTGGAAACCTCCTTTTGGTTGATAAAGGTGTCCATTAGTGGGGTACTCACAGGGCCCCGTAGACTTACAGCTGCACAATTGACACTTCCAGTGGCACTGTCAGGAGCCGGATCTGAGCCCAGGGCCTCTACTGTAGCTGGCGGAGGTTCTACCTGCTGAGTCACCTTGGATAGCACCCTGCCTGATCTCTTGTGTAATCCTCAGTTAAGCCTAGTTTCTGCTGAACTCTGAACTCCTTACTCCTCCCTTTAACTTCCTATTTAAGCCACGCCTCTGCACTTCCTGCTTGCCAGATTATTGTTCTCCTGCCAATATCTTGCTTCCTTGCTCCTCCTGTGATACAATCCGCTCATACTGCTACCCGTGTACCGACCTTTGGCTGCTGATTCACCGACTACTCTCATTGTCTACCACTTCATACCTGATATCTTTGACTACTGACCTCGGCTTCATCTCTGACTACGCTTCTGCCTGCTCCTACACTACTACCGCCTGCTTGTGAACCGCACTCGGCTTGCTTTACCACGAATTTGCCTGCTGCTTCAGCTACTGGACTCCGAGCCTGATCCCAGATCGTGACAAGCACATGACATCTTGACGTGGGGTAGTAACAAGCCTAGTGAGAGGATCAGGACTCCAGGATCATGTGACAGCTGTCTCTAGTAAATGCTTAAATTGTTATGGGTGGTGTGGGAAGGATTATGTAGGGGAGCGGCCAGAGATAGACTAAGTGACATTTTTTTCTTGTACATTGTTATAAAAGGATACTTTAATTTGTCCAGGGCATCCTGATTGATGGTGCCGAGGCTGTTATACACCAAGGCACTGCTTAGTAGGATTGCAAGGGTGAAGATCTTGCTGTCGTTTTTTTTATCCCCCTTTTAAAAAGCAAAAGAACATAAAAGTGGAAACAAAAGTTTACTATTGGTTATTTTGTTGTACTTTTTAATTGATTTACAACTGTGTCACACTCATTTTTTAATGGAAGTTCAGCTTACATCTTTAATAAAATAGCTTAAAAAAGCTAAAGTCCCGTTTTACTTACCCTAATACATGGTCACTTGACATGTCGGGTTCTGAGTCAATCTTCTTCTCTACAGAGGAGGAGCATGCTGGCAGATTGTCAGAAGAACAATCCGGACATCAGTAAATAACAACCGTAACCAACATGCAACACACAGCTCACTGCTGATGTCAATGAATCGCGGCCATGGTGACTTGCTAACCAAACAAAGATCCTTATTTGGAGGAGGAATGAGGAGAGAGCTTATTTTGCACAGATAAAACCATGCAGTGAAATATTTAGCACAGCTTGCAATAATGCTGACTGCTATTTTTGGTGGTGACTCACCCAGGTCTAGCTGGCTGGGCACACATGCTTGCATACAATCTGGCATACGCTGAGGGTTGTGGAGCAGCCTAGCAATTTCCATGTTTTAATGTCTAAATTGCTGCAGCAGATTCTATAAGCAGTGCATGTTTCCTTTAAAATGTGGTGACGGCTGCCATATGTGTGTATAATGGGTTAACTGTGGTGCAACCGTGCCCCAGAGATGACCACTCTCATTCTGCTGGTGCTTAGATTGGGGTCCTGCAAGCTGAAAATTCTCTGTATGGTGTGGCTGAGAACATAATATCATCACAGCCAGGACCTAATTTTTCCTCCAAATAATATTACTTCTACTACAGAGTTTTGAAAGAAATTATCAGAAATTCAAAGCAAAACTAAAAGGTAGGAAAGCTTAAATGTGTTGAAAATGTCACTGAACTTTGCACATGCGTTCATAACTGGTTGGACAGTAGAGTAAAGGAGAACAAATGACAATAAATAACACATTTCATTTTCACAAACCATAAAACTGAATATTCCATTTTATTGATCAATATGGAAAATACAAAATACCAGACATTTAAATTTTGCTGCGTTCCAAATGGATAATCGTATTATTTTTGTTACATTCAGACATTCAGATGGATCCGAATTTGAACGTGAACAAATCCAAATGTTCTTTTAACCAAATTTCAGATCCATCTGAATTTCATTCAAACCAAAACTCAATCATACATGTGACTGTTCTCTGGCCAATCAGATGGGGGGTTTTTTTTGGCTGTTGGGGGTTGCATTAAAGACACGGTCATGTGAATTTATGTGGGTCATGTGGGTTACATGTCTACAAAATACCCAAAAAGGGCTTCTGGGCGATATGAAATCATTATAATTATTAAAGTCTCATTTTAACATTCTCACCTTCTCTACGTCCCCCAGGCCTTCTGTGTCTAAGAGAACCAGAACACGATCCTTATACATGGGGTGAGGGACACACCACATCCAGATACCTTTGGTCTGAGACTGAATAGTAGAACCCAGACTGAAGCCTGTGAACAGGAAACACGTACGATTATCTTTGAATCAATTATAACTTCATAGCTTTCTAAAAACTAGAAATTAGTGAACTTTTAGAGTTGACCAGTTGTTGTTTGGTCAAACTTTTGAAGAACTTGAAATTTGGACTTTCTGAGCTGGAATTAGCAAAGATGTCACTAGCACACCAAAAAGATTTGCGCAAAGTCCATTTAATGGCAAATTGCCATTCAATTACAAGCGCTTTCGAGGACTCAAGGGGTCCCCTTCATCAAAAAAATAAAATCTTTTTGGTGTGCTGGTGACATCTTTGCTAATTCTGTGTTGTTCACGGTGCCATCCGTGGTCACTACAAGCACCCACCTGTCTTTACAGGTTAACCACTGTTCCGGTAAGGAGCGCAGCAAGATATCTACTCCATTTCTGAACTGGAAGTTGCAATAAAATCATTGAAAATCTGAACCAGGCACGAAATAGTATATATTACAGAGGAGCAAATGCAAAAACTGCCTGCTGAAATGATGGGGCCAAAAAACTGTCCACACCACTTGGATAGATGAGTGGGACCTGGTGACACTGGTAGAAGAAGATATTAGGGAGAAGCAGCCTTTGGAGCAGCCTGTAGGCATTTCTCCCAGAAGTCTTTTGGGATTACACACTGCCAAAAATAAAACTCTAATTTGGATGTAGCTGGAGGAATTCAAATTCTTGAAATTTCCTCTGAATCTAATGGCATTTTAATTTCACAATCAAGTCTAAAAGCTGACCACTCACCTTTCTGAGCTCCAGCCAACCTGTTCATCAAGTATGACTTTCCAGTCCGATACATGCCGACAATGGACACCACCACCACTGGTTGGTGGATGTTGGAGAGGATGTTGATGGCCTCAGGGTTCACCACTAGCTTTGCTCTTCCTCCTTCTATCCTGTTCTCAATGAGGCAGATTGGGCTACCCATTCTGATTGCTGATTCCATGGCAGAGGATTCAGTCAGTTCTGAAAGAAGTAAATATTTATTGGCTTGTATATAAGGTTGTCAGTATTGATCAGTTTAACTAATGTAACCAATTGTATCCTTAGGAGCTGACCAGACGGAGTGTTCTCGGCGACACACCACTTTTTTTATACAGTTATATACTTAGAAACCATGTACAGAATGGGGCTTTCAAAGGCGCTTATTACACACTTATCACTAAAAATTATAAAACCATAATTTCTATTATTGAAAAGACATGTACAGTAAATATACAGGAGTAAAATCTTTTCAATGCAACAGATTAAACAATACCTCCCACAGCCACATGGTACAGAGTATCTGAGTAGTGAACATATGTACAGGCATAGAATGTAGCTAAATCACCATCTCAAATTGTACATTCAGTTGTTTCTAGTGGCATGTGATGCT